CGCGCGAGGCTCGGTCTCCGCCCGGGAGCCCCGCGGGAAGCCCTTCCTGGCGGGAATGGGCTGGAGGGACGTGGGCCGTTAGGGCGGCGGGGCAGCCCCGCCCGAAGCTCGCAGGGCGCGCGCCGCCCCCCCCCCCACCACGAGTGGAAACTTGAAACTCCCGCTGGTGCCGGAAAACTCGCCCAGGGCGTTTCCATCGCCCCCGAGGAGGGACTCCTCTTCGCGGAGGGGACCCAGAACCGAATCGGGCGGTGTTACTTGGCTGCTCAGCTGGAGAATCCTGGACCAGGAGACAGAAACCGGCCTATCTTAGAGGAATTTAGATTTGCCGCAGAGGACGTTTAAATGATTGTGGCAGTTTTTACCCAACTAGGAAAAGTTGCTTTTTCGGATAGCTCCACCAAAACCTCGATGGTTATGTCCCCAGTCACAAGTGCAGATTTTTGTCCTTTAGGCAAAGACAGTTGATAATTTTTTATTACCACCGACATTTTTGGGGCAGTTGGAAGGAATTGATCAGGAAGAAAAAGTTGGAAGTGGGGCCCCCAAAGGGCAGCCAAACCTAAATTATCCTAGAATTAGAGAAGGTTATGGTCCTAGCTTAACTCCAGGCCGCTCTCTTTAGTCGGCGGCTGGGACTAGACAGACTTCTTCCTAGTCCGTGTTCTGGCATCCACGCCACGCTCCCATCCTGTCTCCTCAGTGTCTTCTGCTGGGATTCACAGAGCAACACGTGCTATGAGTATATATGAACCGTAGTGCACAAAACCAGATCAGTCCAGCTTGCCCCATTTGCAGTCTTTATGTAGTTTACCTTTTATGAACAAACTTGAGATTCAAATAACAAAATCTTAGGAGTGTACTTAACTTTTAGAGAACAAATAATTCATATCCTTCCTGCTTTAGCATTTGTCTTCTCTGAGACAGTAGCTTTTCCTGGAACTGTCTCCCCAGATCACTTTCACCAAGCTCTGAGCTTCAGTGAGTTTCCCCCATTGCCCTCTGCGACCTCTCTGAACAATTAAAAGCCCCAAGAGTTAACTCAAAGGTCTTTAGACGGCAAATTCCTCAAGGATGGGAACCAGGTGTGTCCTTTTTCTCAACTAAAAGATTACTCCCTGACTTTATCCCCAGGGTGCAAGGATTATCCAGGTAATTGTTCAGCCTTCCACATCAAGTTGCATGCATAAGATAGTCAAAGTATTACGTAAATTCCTGGATAGTACACTAAGCAAGCAAAAGTATGTAACGTACATACTTAGCAAAAGTTGCTACACTTTTACATACTTTTGCCAAGAAAACAAAGGATTCACTATGTGCTGGGGCACTAGGGTACTAGGCTTTTTACAAGAGCATCTCTTTTGATAATTACAACAACCCTGTCTTTGGGGTCAATATTAACATTGCCCCCCCTTTTTAAATCAGTGAATAAAGAGCCTCAAAGGAGTTAAGTAATTTGTAACACAGCCAGGAAGTGGCAGAGCAATGACCAAACCTAGTTATATTTGACTCCAGAGCCTAGATTTTATCCTATACTCTGCAACAGCAAACAGACCAGAAAATGTAACATTTCAGTTGGCTAACATATTAGTAAATATTTAAGTAAAAGATAACATTCAAGGCTGGTGAGATAAAAAGGGTACTCTCAGACATTGTGAGTGGGAGTGTAAACTGAAACAACCTGTTTAGAAAGCAATTTGGCACAGTGATTCAACCTATAAAAATGTTCATCCTCTTGTAACCCATAATCCCATATCTGAGATTCTTTCTGAATGAAATCATCTGAAATAGAGCAAAAGCTTTATTCATAGACTGTAGATCACAATATTATTTATAAGATGCAAAAATTAAACATGGAAACGAAATATTTTAAAAGTAGCCATATATGCTCTGTAACATTTTGGGTTAACAACTTTAAATGTTTATGGAATGTGTATAACATCATGGCATATTTTTTTGTAGTATTAGAGGGAGGGAACAAGTTATGAAACTATCCATGCAGTATGATCACATGTATGTTTAAAAGAAATTAACAACAAAGAGGTGCCTGGGTGGCTAACTCAGTTGGGTGTCCAACTCTTGTTTTCTGCTCAGGTCGTGATCTCTAGGTTGTTAGGCTCTGCGCTCAGTGGGGAGTCTGCTTGAGACTCTGTCTCTCCCTCTGTCCCCCCACCCCTACCCCGTGCCCACACACACACACACACACACACACACACACTCTCTCTCTCAAAAAAAAAAAAAAAAAAGTATGAGGTGTTAGAAAAACCGAGAAAGATTGAAACCCAGGGTTGGCTGGGTGGTCTTCTATGGGCATTTTTTTTCTTTATTCTATTCTTCAGTTTTTTCTGTCTTACTTTTACAGTGTAAAAAAAATGATTTAAGTTTAGTTTTACTACAATGTGGATCATCAATTACACAAAAGCCCAAAGCCACTGTTTCCTAAGTGTGAGGCTATTCTGTGAAAAATTGTGATGAACTGAGCTGGCAGAACTTTATAGTTAGGGGTCAGGTATCTTCACTGTAAATGTCATCTACACATAGCATTGTTTGGTTTTGTTCCTTAGGCCAAATATGCATCTTTAATGTAATATGAGTGATTTAATTGAAAATTTTCTTCTCTATTTTATTCCAACATTTCAGATTTCAAGGGGAAAAGTTCACACATTTGCTGAAACTACATTTTTTCAGAAAAACAATCTGATGATATTAACAGTAGTTACAAAAAAACTTATATAGCACCTACCTAATATGCATAAAAAAGAAAGACCAGGGGCGCCTGGGTGGTACGTCCAACTCTTGGTTTCAGCTCAGGTCATGGTCTCACGGTCGGGAGAGCCTCTCCCTCTCTCTCTCTCTCTCTCTCTCTCAAATAAATAAATCTTTAAAAAAAAGACCAAAATCAATCTATTACAATCTGTTACTAACTCTTCTATGCTACAATCCGATGGTACTCCGCGATAACATATTGACTAATTCTGGATTCTGGAATTCCTATGATAGTTACAAAGCATTTGTCTCACTAGCACATATAAAATTCCTTCTTGAATAAAACTCCTTTTTGCAAGTGTGCTTTGAAAATGGAAGGTTTTCCATCTAGAATAAACATTGAGCTCCAGGCCCCTTGCTAGTTTGAGTAAGACTAGGCTCCTGCCCTCTGGATTCAGTAATGAGAAAGGCAAACAAACAGTTGTGCAATTTGAGCTGTAATAAAGATAGACACATAGTGTCAAGTGAGACAGAAAAGAAGGGCTGTTAACTTTGCCTAGAGAAGAGAAAGCCCCTGGGGGGGCAGAGGGGGGTGTTGAAGGGTTAGTAGAGGGTTCCCTAAGAGGGGAAAAGGGTAAAGGCAATCAACTTTGAAGACTGAGTAGCAAGATAGGGTTAATGTTGAGATAAGGATGTTTATAACCAGAAAGGTAAGTTGAGATCTGTTTGGGAAGATCAGAATTTGCCCTTCATCTTTAAGGAAGTAGGAATCCATATAAGGGAGTAAGAAGGGGAATAATGTGATTCCCTTGTGTTAGTAAAGTAACTGGCAGCCACATGGATTACTTGAGAGAGTGATTCCGTGACACAGTAATAGGCAAGATCACTAGGGACAACTCAAGACAGTTTTGCTGTAAAAGTCCAGGCCAGAGAGGATGAAGGACTGACCTGGGAGGTTTTGAAGATGAAGAGGAGGAAATAGAATTTTCTAAAATTTTTGGAGATCGGCTTCGAAGAGTAAGAGAAAAGAAGTGAAAATGATTTCAGGTTTCTAATGGGTACCATTACGATAAATAGGGAGTATAAAAGAAGTAAAAGGGAGAGGTCAAGATAATTAGGCAAGTTATAAAGACGCTGATTTGAAGTGTCTATGGGTAGTCTAGGAACAAATTCGGTAATCTAGGAACAATATTCAGTAACTGGACATAAGAACTATGGCGAATGAGACATCCAATAAATTCTCATTGAATAAATGAACATCAGTAACATGCTTAAAACAGGCCTTTTATTTCCAACTGTGTCTTTGGAAAATATAGTTCTGCTCAACTCAAGGATTTGAATATTAAAGATTATATATTAAATTAATCTAAAGCATCATTATATACTAAAGTGTTTTTCCATGAAAAAATTTTATTCACTGTTTTTAAAAAGCTATAAAGATGTAAAGTCACAACTATTTTAAAGACCTATACACAGAAATGCAAAAGAGAACTGTGATATTTCATTCCCGACTCCCACTATCTTGCCTATTTAAGTACATATTCACAGTGTGCTCACCAATATAATGGCCCTCGGTAAAAACAGACAAAGTAAATAAAACTATCTTATCATCTGCTTTGTATGCCTAGTAGGCCATACAAATTTAATTGCTGATATAAGCTATAAAATTTCAGTACAGTGAACAGAGGTTTTATGGGTAACGTACCTAAAGGAAGACTCAAGAAACCGCAGGCCTGCTCCAGCCTTTATTCTCTCCCTATCAAAGATCAAATTACGTAAGTACATAATTCATAATGTGTTTGCAGATATGAGCATATTAATCTTCAACAAAGACAAGGTAAAAGTTATTACTTAATCCTCTCTGCTTATATAATAAAAAGCCAGTTTAGTTTGTGATAAAAGGCAAGAGAATTTCAGAGGTAAGCAACAAACAGAGTGGAAAGAGTCTAAAGGAGAGAGTCCATAACCTTGGCTTTATTCCCAATTCCTACAAACAAGTTGCTAAGTGACCTTGGAAGATCCAATAGACTATTCGGTAACTTACTTGCAAAGAGTGTTAAACAAAGGAGAATGTGACACCCATTGTGCCTTTCCAAGAGCTTGTCCGAAGATGCCAGGGATTTTCAGGACTGGAAGAAGATCTCAAAGAGCATG